CTGCATCAGAAAAATACGAGTTCCCTTGCTGGCTTCTTGTTGCAGCTGGAAAAAGATGTAGTGTAAAGCTTCTGCAACTGGCCTCATGCAGTCTCAGTGCTCCTCCAGGTTCCAACAGTCTCACCTCTCTGAGTAAAATTCAACTGCAAGGAGTGAATATCAGTGATCAACAGCTAGAGAATCTCTTATCAAGTTGCTTGTTTCTTGAAGGACTAAGTTTGCATCTATGCAATGATCTTGTCAATTTACAATTTGCTGGTCCAAACCTCCGGCTGAAGCTTTTGAGTGTACAAAACTGTATCAGATTGCAGGCGATGGAGTTATGTGCAAAGGATCTTGTTTTGTTGGAATATACTGGTCACTTAATTAGCTTATACTTCAAAAATGTCCCAAGGCTGGCTGAAGCCTTTCTGAATTTCACTGGAGAGAGTAGACTGGATGGTGGAATTTATGCCCTCACAAGATTTGTGAGCGATCTACCTCAGTTGGAGACTTTTAATTTCGTCTCGATACTGGCCATGAAGGTAAATGTAAAAAACCTGGTATAGAATATGTCAAGGTATTTCAGCTATGAATTTAAGAATATTTGAAATTGATAGGACCAGGACCCGTGCCAATGCGAGCTGTTCATGCACCTGAAACTTGTTCTTTAATGATGTATTTAAATAGAATAGTTTTCCAGTTCCAGTTCAGTGAGTTTGGTCCTGATTCGTATGCCATTGGATTAGTGTTGACAGTCAGTCATACTCTCTGCATATCCAACCTTGCCACTTATGCAGAGTCTTCTGTGTAGTCTTTTTTTTTGTTTTTGTTTTTGTTTTTATTTTATAATTTATATAATGCATGCTAAGTTTGTAATCTTTCCATTTCAGATACTAAATCTTCCGGAAACTGGGCCTACATTCACCAATATCAAGCAATTTGTGCTGACTGTTTTTCCATTTGATGATGAAGACAAACTCTGCTGGATTAGTTATGTCCTGAAGGCTTTCCCTTTATTGCAAAAACTACAGTTAAATGTAAGTACATGTTGACCTTTTTATGGAAGCAAACTAGATCAAGTTTTCTAGTGCCTTGTTGTTCATATCGCCGAATACTTGTTTTTCCATTTGCAATGTGCTGATTGATAATTAGAAATTTATCCTAGAACATATAAGCTGAGTAACTCTTTTCTTCTTCTTTTTCTTTTTTTTTTTTTTTTTTTTTTGTTTCTTACAGTTGTTTTGCCCAAGCTTTATCAAACAACCAAAAGAGATAGAAAGAGTCCTTCCTGTGTGCCCTCATAAGCATCTCGCTGAACTAGAGGTAAATGGGTTTTACGGTAATCAGCATGAAGTTGAGCTCCTCAAGTATCTGATTGACAATCTAGTTGAACTCAAAGTTCTAGTGGTGAGTCCTTCCCAGAAGGTGTACAGAGGATTCAACAACTGGGTTTATGAAGAAGCAATGTCGTGGTACAAATTTAGAACTGAGTCCATCTGTCAGTGGCTTCATACAGTAGTTCCCCCCACTGTCCATTTGCATATTCAGTGACAAGGTTGTATACTTTCCTGTGTTATGATACAATACTTACTGACCATAATAGATGACCATTCAGTTATAGGATTAGTTCATTTTATATGATTGATTTTCATGTTGTACTTTGTACAAAAATTAAATATCCGGACATAAACTTATAAACAAAAAGCAGTTGTTTGAACAGAATATATATTTGAGTAATTCATTCTTGTTCGGAATATAAATTTAAATAATTTATTTTTGTTCATAAATTTATGTCCGAACATTTGACTTTTATTTAAAATTTATATTTGAACGACACAAAAGTTTTAATTCTAAACAAAGACTTGTTGCTATTCGGGACAGCACAGTGGATGTTGAAATGACTAAACCATCTATACTTCTTTTCAAAAAGGGGATAACCACGCCTACATAATGTAGCATTTTGAAAGAAAAATCTATCAAAAGGAGTGGACATTTCTGACATCTTGACACCCATACTTTTGATAAGGAGGCCTTGGCTTATGTTTTTCTTGGCAAGCATTTGGCTGTTGAAATGTCCTTTCTATCAAAATAGACTGCCAAGAGGAAACTCGGCAAAAGTTTAACTTTGCATACCAACTTACCCTCACCACCTAGTACCAGCTCCAACCGCCCTCCCCTACCCATCCCTAACTCTGGCCATCACTTCTAATCCCTTCTCTCTCTATCCTCACACAGGTCCTTCCTCTGCCACCAGGACCACCACCCCCGCAACTCCACCTTGCGATCCCAACTCCCCTTATCCGCTCAACTACCCTCTAGCCCCATCACTCCACTGATCACCACTTCTACAACCTTATGACCCTGTAGCCCTACCCTTGCGATCCTCACTTTTGCAACCCCCATCCTCTTCGTAGCTAGGGTTTCACAAAGAAGAAGAAGGAGGAGGAGGAGAGAGAGAGAGAGAGACTGACTGGGGTTTCACATAAGGGAAGAAAAAGAAAAACGGAGTTGAATGGTTGCAGAAAAAAGGAGTTGAATGGTTGCGGGGGGAGTCGCGGCTAGAGAAGATGAAGGGAAACGGTGGAGATGGCAGCAGATGGGGTTGGGGTGTTGTTGGGGAATGAAGGGGGCTGGGGAAGGGAGCCACCAGTGGTAAAGGAGGCTGGAGACGGGGCTCACGGGCGGAGAGGGTCGAGTGAGGGTGGCTAAAGGTAGGGTGTGGGGGTTCAAAGAAAGAGCAAAGTTGGGAATATAGTGAGTGCTCAAAGAGAAGAAGGTGGGGAGCAATTTTGATAGGTAGAGGGGTCTAAAGAAGTGAGGGTCTAAACAAATTGTGTGGGGGCATTTAGCAGCTCCATTTTCGAAAAATGTCCACAAGTTCGGTTACTTAAAAGCAACAACAGTTGCCATAGATTATTTTTAATTTTTATTTTAATTTTTGTATGAAAAAAAGGCTAGTCTCTCAACTGGTTCAATTGTAAGTTTCATTGCGTACAAATGAACTTTGCAATTGCACACATTAGTGTGCTTACCCTTCTCATACATATATAGATATATATATATATATATATATATTTCTTGCCTCCACGAGATAAGTTGAATTGGAAGGCATTCTTTTATTTTTTGACGAAAAATATTTTTAGAATGTTATTTATTTATTTTTAGTCTTTGGTATGACAAAAACTGAAATTTAATGAGACTAAGTTTTCTGTGATCAACGAAATACAAGTTTATTTAGATGAAAAATTATTTATGTTTTAAAAGATAAAAAATATTTTTGAGATTAAAAATTTACTATACAACCACACTATCATCACCATCACCCACCTGACCACCACCTCCTCCACCTTTACCACTGCCACCACCTCACCGGTGCTTCCGTCACCACCACCATTAATGCAAGAAGTAAATTAGTTTTAAGGTCAGAATCATTTATGAAAATTGTTTGATGTAGAGTTTTTTTTTTTTTTTCAGTCGTTATTGCTGTTGTTGATGGTTTTATTAAAAAATGAAAGGAATTGATGGGGAAGTCATAAGTACCATGATCTGTTTTCATATGCTTTAGAAATTTTAATAGGAAAGAATTAATCAATAGTAGGCTAGTTTACAAAATCGCCAAGAAAAGATGCCAAGGTACGAGGCTGGAATCTGTTGTTGTTGTTGTTGTTACCTTTTGCCTTTTACAACAATGGTAGGCAGGCATATTTGTATAATATGCCTAGTTTGATACGGTTACTATTGTTACGTTGGGAAGGAAAACTTGGAATCTCCATCATTTGAGAGTATACATGCTGATTTCAAAAGTAGTCAGATTCACTTTTCACAAGTAAAGATTTGACGATAAGATCAAAATTTCAAATTAAAATTTTTAAAAGGATCATAGAAAATTTGTTCGATCATTAAACTTTTAGGGATTAATTATGGACTGTCTAGATATGAGGTAAATCAGCCCCAATTAAGTTAGGTTGGACGAGAGATACCTTATATTATCAAATAATAGACAAATATTCACTCTTGACATTTTGTTGGATTTATTTATTTAATTAATTCTTTTTGTGCTTTTTTATTGGTGGGCAATGTTGGAGCATCTTCGAATTGAAAAATTATTAAATAATCTCAAAATATTATGTGACATTGTTTAGGTGATACTCCCGATCAATAAAACTTACATTAAGTGAAATCATCTCTTATCTCCTAATTAGCTAACAAGATGGGTCAACAATATTCTTGATTAAAAGTATCACATGAACAATAGCACACACAATAAGGACCCCTAAAAACCTTTGTGCAAACCATTAAAAAGGGGTGCAAACTTGTTCAATGAGATTAGCCGACCTCTAAAACCACCAAAAAGGGAAGGACAAATGAAAGTGGACATGAAATGTGAACAAAATTTGAACGCGTCAAAAACATCACAGAATCTTACACTAATATTATTGTTATTATTATTTTTTGTCTTCCCACGTATTTGCAAATGTTGATACGACAAGAACTAGCCTATTACGTTGATGGGATCGGGTCGGTAGTTCCTTCTCATTTTTGGTCGTGTTTTTTCTTGTTGCACCTCTCGTGTGTCTGGTATATCCAAAGCCGGTCGGCTGGATATTAGTCTCTAGCCTTTTCTTATCTTATGCTTTTTACTTTTTGTAATACTCTATTTCTATCATATCATATACCCCACATTAATTGTTTTTTTGTGCTCTACTATTTTGTGCCTATTTGGTGCAGCTTAAAAGTTGCTTATTTCAGCTTTCAGCTTAATTTAAATTATTTTAATGTGTTTGGTTTAGCTTATAGCTTAGAGCTTATAGCTTTTTGGAAGTCAAAAATCAACTTATTGTTTGAGTGGGGCAGGAGATGCTTAATTTAAAAGTCAGAAATCAGCTTATATTCATAGTTATAAGGTACAAGCTGTTTAGACATAAGTTATAAATACTTTCTCACAGCTCTACCAAACAGGGCCTTTGTGCAATGCATATCTCTGTGTATATATTCACGCAGAAACATATGCTCACTTACACTTAAAACTTCCTACGGCTGCCTTCTTTGATTAATACGGCTTCCTCGGCCATGGTAATCATTTTACAAACATGGTTTCTGGAGCTTATTTTCTATATAATTGTAGTCTGTCGATGCTTTTGGTTAATTAGTTATTGAATTGCTTGGACTTCTTCTTATCTATAAATTCTTATTGTTTGATTTGATTTGGGAATACAACTTATGCTAATTGATAGGAGTACAAAATAATTCTGACTTGTCAAGCCCGGCTCATGCAAGTTTTCTCTTAATTAATGTCATTATTTAAGGGGAAACTTTGTCTTAGTGAAGAAAATCAAGTATAGTCAATATTATTCATGTGTGGGTAATTACAAAGTGTGAACATATTATCGGTAATTCATTCATTAGTTTCGAAATATTACGTGACATTATTTACATGGTTGCTGACTTTTAAATAATTGACAGATAAATAATAATTTATTTATTATATGTTGCGATTTCTCATTAGTTGAGAATATCATATAAATAATGCGACATGATATTCTAAGTATATTTAATAATTTATCTATTAAGATGTTATAAAATATGTAACTAAACCTACCAGGTACGAAAATATAGATCTCACATTTATTTATCAATGTTAACCCCATTAGCTTAGTGTTTGGTAAGAAATCTATTTATGTTTGGTCCACAAATTTTGAAGTATTAATGAGCACTGTGGGTGAACATCTTCGATAACATTACATTTATGAGTGAGCAACACAATCATTTTCGCAACTATATATGTGCAATGGGATTAGTGTACATTTTTTTGAGACAAATTATATCCATAGTTCTTACACTAAATAGGTTAATGTTAGTACACTAAATAGTGTTGGTACACTAGTTAGTACACTAATTGATATATGTAGCAGTAGTACCACCATTTTAGATTAGTTCAATTGATAACACTATTAGTGTTTTTGATAGAAAATTATTACTGAATTGTTTGAAGTTACCTCACCGAATTGAAGTATGACATGTGCTGCTTATGTACATATTTTCTATTAAAACATGCAAATAATTGTAATTAATTAGATTAAATTGAGACAAAAACATAAATTTATGGTCCAAATCGATCGAATTGAAATTAAAGGGACTAAAAGGAAACATGAAACAAAATATAGGAATTACTAACATAATAAGGGGTGATTATTCAGTATTCTCGAAGTATGAACACATGGTACTCCATAAAGTTTTGATTGGTAAGGAGAGGTAGGGATCCACGATTTATATTGGGAATGTGAGAACAATATGCGAGCTAAATAATTGGTGGTTGGCTTGGAACATGATGACGTGGTATTCTGGAATTATTAAATAATTTTCCCGTAATAAGTCCTTTTCTTGCTCTCTCTTTTTCGGGAAAGAATGAAAAAAAGGACTAAATCATATATTGTAAAATTCACTCACTGGCATCATATGTTCAGGGACTAAATGATGAAGGTGGAGTTGAAGATATAGTTTACCAACCCTTGAAGAATCCCAGACAAGGTGGATTCAAGGGTACCATTTTCATCTTTGGTAAGTAAATGCGTACGATCCACGTGGTAACACCCTCAAACACTACAAATTCTCGATCGGAAAATATATGACATTTTCTAATGTTGGCATATTAATTTAACAAGATCTCAATCTGCAGCAATGATGGGGCTGGACAACATTGGTTTTGTGGCGAACATGGCAAGCATGGTTCTATATTTCTTGTACGTCATACACTTTGATCTCTCTGGCTCTGCAACTACAACAACAAACTATTTGGGAACTGTATTCTTGCTTACGCTCGTTGGAGGGTTCATCTCTGATACCTACATGAACCGCCTTAACACGTGTCTACTCTTTGGTACAATCCAGTTGTTGGTATCTCCCTCTGCTGTATACTAGTAGTACCAACCATTTATTCAATTACTCTAGTTCATTTTTTTTTTTTTTTAATGTTTGGAATTGGTTTGACTTGCAGGGATATCTATTACTAATTGTTCAATCTCATTTTCATAAACTGCAACCTGAATTTTGTGGGAAGTCCAGCTGTGTGCATGGTACTAAAGGTTTGCTGTTTTACGCTTCTATCTTCTTGGTGGCGTTGGGAGGAGGTGGAATCAGAGGCTCGGTGCCTGCTTTAGGTGCTGATCAGTTTGACCAAAACGAAGCAAAGGAAAGCAAGTACATAGCCACCTTCTTCAATTGGTTTTTGCTTAGTATAACTGTTGGGGCTTCAGTAGGGGTGACGGTTGTAGTGTGGGTAAGCACAAATGTCGGATGGGATAAGGGTTTCATCATCTCCATGATTTGTGCTTTTCTTGGACTTTGTTTTATTTCACTAGGAAAGGCTTTTTATCGCATTAGAATGCCAGGCGAAAGTGCATTGTCAAGTGTTTTACAGGTCTCTCTCTCCCTCTCATGAAAAATTTATATATATAGGCACATGTACAAGAAGATTAATTCCATTCAGGCCACCCAACCTAACTCATTTGAGGTGATAATCAATTACAGGTTTTGGTGGTGACAATAAGAAATTGGGCAGTGCGCCTACCCGAGAACTCACGTGACTTATATGAGACTCGTGGCCCTGAGTCTGCGTCATATCGAGAATGCATTCCCCATACTAACCAATTCAGGTGGGTTCTCTTAATTATACATTATCATGAGTCATGACCGCCTGTTTACTTTCATTTGGAGAAATGAATCCACCTATCTAATTCATTCAAACATTATAAGATCTAAACTACATCAGCTATTTGTACCAATTAACACGCTATATATATTTAAAAATATTTATATACTGTAACTGTTTGGAAAGTGACTATTTTAGAGACTTTTTGACTATTTTAATAAGTTATTTTAGTTTTTGTATTTGGGAAGATATGATGAATTTTTATTTGAGTTGTGTATTGAAAAATGTGTTTGAAATGATGTTTCAAACTGAAATGACAAATTTATCCCTAACTTCATTTTTTCCAAAATAGGTTTAAAGAAGCAAAATTGTCATTTATTTCGGAAATGATGGGGCTGTCCCTACACTGTCAGGCTAATACTATTTTAGAGCTATACTTTTATTTTATTTTATTTTTAAAAAAAAAATCAATGGATTAGTGTGACTTTTTGTATTTGAGGCTATTTTAGCCTCAACTTTTGGTTCCCAAACGCCCCCACTATTTATAAAGAACGCTATATATATTTAAGAATAGGGAAGTAATTGAAACCCCCTTCAATCGTCACCCCCACCAACCCCCACACACACGTGGTGGGTGGTGATTGGAGGAGAAGGAAAAAAAAAAAAAAAAAACTGGCCAATCAGAGAGAGAGGGGATCAAAGGGAGTGCCTCCTTGAGGGGGTCCAACTTATTTTCCTTAAAAATATTTATATACTATATATAAAGAAATTAATTTCCTTATATCGACTAGTTTAATTGTGTCACCATGCAACCAGTTATATAATTAGTTCATGATTTGTTTTTCTCTTGGATTGCATCAGGTTATTGGACAAAGCTGCTGTTCTTCCCGAGGGCATCATCAAGCCAAAGAAATGGAGAGTTTGCACAGTGACTCAAGTAGAAGAAGTAAAGATACTAACAAGGATGATGCCAATCCTTCTGAGCACCATTTTGATGAACACATGCCTAGCCCAACTGCAGACTTTTTCTGTCCAACAAGGAACCCTTATGAACACTAAACTAGGTGGTTTTGATGTCCCAGCGGCCTCAATCCCTGTGATTCCTCTGGTGTTCATGTCTCTTCTTATACCTGTTTATGAATTTGCCTTTGTTCCCATAGTGCGTAAATTCACTGGTCACCCAAATGGCATAACCCATCTCCAGAGGGTCGGAGTTGGACTTGTTCTCTCTGTTATTTCGATGGGTGTGGCGGGGTTCATAGAAGTGAAAAGGAAGAATGAGATCATTCATCACAACCACCGCATCAGCCTCTTCTGGCTCTCTTTTCATTATGCAGTCTTTGGAATAGCGGACATGTTCACATTCGTCGGGCTATTGGAGTTCTTTTACAGTGAGGCTCCTGCTGGCAAGAGATCTCTCTCCACTTCTTTCTCATTTCTCTCGTTGTCTATAGGCTACTATTTGAGCTCGGCTTTCGTGGGGCTCATTAACTTGGTGAGTGCTAAGCTCTGTTCGAGCAAGAGAGGGTGGCTAGAAGGGCTTGACATGAATAAGAACCGCGTAGAGCTCTTTTATTGGTTCTTGGCAATTCTCAGCATTCTCAATTTTGTCAATTATGTGTTCTGGGCTAAATGGTTCAAGTACAAGAAAGATGTTCCGATAGATGGACAAAAGCTTCTCATTAGACCCCACCCGGATGAATCGGTCTCAGTGTCAGCCTGAGGTGTGAGTTTAAGCTAGCTGGCTTTACATTCAAACAACAAGAAACAATCTCTACATCTGTCAGTACTACTGGAGATATTAATTAAGGAACAAAGAGGAAATTAAAATACGTTCGTGATTGACAGCCACTTCACATGTCCCATATAGTACTTTGATAATCTCCTCTTGTCCTTGTGTTGTCATTCACATGTGAAAATTGTGAGTGAAGAAGTCAGAAAGTGTTTGGCTGAAATAAGTCTCCGATGTTGAGTTTATCGCTCTCCCCTAATTTTGATTAGTCAGTTACCACTTGCTAGCTGTGGCAGGAAATTATGTTGTATGAGATGAAACAATTAGCAAAGCAGGTGTATTTTTAGCAAGCAAAATGATATATGTCTACTTTTTAGGCTCATTTTTTTAGATTGATGTGTAAGTGATATGATTGATTGATGATTAGAGAAAATATGAGAGAGTATTACCTTTAATATCCTAATTGATTATCACATCACTGGACTTGAAAATTAAGCCTATTTTGTGACATAAACATAAACATAAACATAATAATAATAATAATAATAATAATAATAATAATAGGTATGATAGTAAAATAAATAATTAATTTTCTGTTGGTATGTTATAAAGTGTAATTTAATTAGAAATCAGTTTGTTTATATAATTATGTTAAAGAACTAGGCCAAAGTATAATTACCACAAATGTTAATTAGATAAGTATCAATCTATGGAGATTTATGATCAAAATCTAGGGGGATTTGGACTGTGGACACGTGTTGGCTTGATGGCACTACTGCCTGTCTATAAATAAGGAGGAGTTGAGCCAGATCAGTGCGAAACAAGAGAGGAAAAAACACGCAAGATTCTGAAGGTAGGTAACTAATAGTAAGAAGGTTTGTGATAGTGGAAAGTAAAAGCTAAGGGTAAATATTAAGGTGAGTTATATTATACCTTGAGTTACCATAATATATTTTACATATGTTTTGAATTACTATAATTTATTTTATACAAGTTATGTTTTATAACTTATATTTATATTTCAATTACGTTAATTATTTTCTGAACTCCATTTGCTTATATTGAAACACATGGATATGTTTGTTTAACTTTTAGAAATTATTGACAATGGTTTTGTAAATAATTATTTTTTATAAGTAACCACCACGGAGTCCCATGCCTTGGAGGACTTAAATAACCATTGGTCTCTGTTTGGCCGCTTTGTGATCCTCTGTTTGTCATTGATCCATTGACCTCTGTTCTGATTGTCACTTTTATGACCTCTGTTCTGTTTTGGTCTATATCGTAGTTATGATTATTTATTTACATAATTTTCGTATTTCAATTTCTGCCACTTTGAATAATTTGTTTATTCAAATTAAGTTATGTAAATATTTTACTTTAACTAACTATCCATGATTATTTTGTGTTCCCTATACTCTTGGCATAATATTTTTCACTCTGCTGTGTGCTTATAGCTATTACCCTTTCAAGTGACGAGATGTAGGAGAAACCCATAACCTCACGTAATGGAACGCGCACGAGGATTGATGTTGAACTACTATTTTGTCTTTCTTTTCTTTTTTTTTATTATATATTTTTGCTCCCTTTTGTTTCTACTCAGGGTCAGTCACTGAATAATAAAATAATAAAAGCCCGTAAAGATATGTTCAATCATGAATATTTTCTTAATGGTCTATTGTACTGCTTTCTGAAATGACATTTCTTGCTGAATGAATGTTTGTCCTATTTGTAAACTGAATTCGTGGCATCCATAGCAATCTACTGTTACTACACTGTTACTGCTATTGTTACAAAGATCTCTATCGGTTCCTATGTTTGGAACCATTACTGTTTACTGTTATGATGACCATCAACTGACTATTCGGTCTGTTAAGACCTATTGTACTGTTTTGCTGTTGGATGTACCACATATAACTACTATGGTTTCTAATTGATATGACTGTTTAATGACTGAAAGGACATTCATTCTTAACCTCTTTACACAGTTGTTATTCACTGGACTTTAGCTCACTGTTTATATTTATATGTAGATGTTCAAGCATCGGATCGATGCTAGGAGCGTCGGGTTAACTCCCTTTTTGTCAAGCCGACCATTGTGCCTCACCTCGAGGTTCTAAGCCTGACCGAGCTAAGGCTGCTTTAGGGTGTCTCAGTTTTACCCTTCCGTCTCTGTTTTGTAATACTGTTTAAGACTTGTACTGTACTCTGAATGTTTGTACATATGGTGTATATATGTTTTTCTTATGAATGTGAATATGTTCGAAAAAGTCTTTTTGCATACAGACTGTCACAGCTCATTAGACATCTTTTATTACTGTTTTGGCTTCCGCCAGCCCCTGTACTCTGTATTTCTGTGCAGGCCTTCGGTAATCACGGATTACTGGCCGGTTACGGTGCTAAACCCATAGGGGCGGGTTTGGGTCGTGACAACCCCCATTTTCACAGTCTAAGTAGCATGGATGTGTTTTGGTGTATCCAGTTGGGGTGGGAATTTAAGCTTTTTATGCAGCACTATTTCCCATGGTTTTTCGGCCCATTTGACCAACCACTCTAGATTTGGGTAGAGGAAAATCTTTTTGTATACTGATTATGATGTATTCTAATCAATTTTTTTGTTGTTTTTTGTTTTTGTTTACCACAGAGATGGGCACTAACATATTCTGACTGATGTAATATGAATTGTAGAAAAATGTAAAGTTGGTATTTCATATAAATATAGATTGCGCTACATATGTTTATATATATGCTGCATTGTGAATGTAATGCCTTGTTTATTACTTTGTAGAATGGCCAATAATGGTAACAAAAGTGAGTCATCAGTCAGTGGCACTGAATCGATGGAAAGAATAATGGAAAGAGCGGTTACTAGCTTTTTGCAAGCCTTGCAGACCAACATCAACAATGGAATGCCAGAATGGCGCGAAGAGCCAGTTACCATAAAACAGTCTCAAGATCTGAAACCCACCACATTTACCGACTGTCGAGACCTAATGGTAACGAACACTTGGGTTAAAGACATGGAAAAGATTTTTCGTACTTTACCCTGCATTGAAAGACAGAAGGTAACTTTCGTCACTTTCACTTTCAAAGATAATGCGCAGGAATGGTGGCTTCTCACCCTAGAAAAAGAAGAAATTGTGACTTGGGCAAGATTCTTGAAAGTATTTTATGCAAAATACTTCCTAAATTCACTGCGAGAATAAAAGGCGTCGGAATTTATACAGCTAAAGTAAGGAATCATAACGGTGGTCGAATATGGGAACAAGTTCAAACAACTCGCTCGATTTGCGACATATGTCATCCCCACCGAAGCTCGAAAAGCAAAGAAATTCAAAGTAGGATTGGATGTTGAAATCAAAGATAGGCTTGAGGTTTTGAAACTACCAACCTATGCTGAAGTGGTAGATCGAGCATACATTGCGGAAAAAGGAATCAAAGCCTCACGCTCCGAGGAACCAAGCCAAAGGAAGCAATTTTGAGAAAAAGACAATAGAAGATCTGGTGTTACACCTCCCAAGAGGATGAATACGGGCACAACCAGCTCAGGAAATCAAGGTTCTACTAACCCCAGAGGTGGCACCATTCCAACTTGCCCTACGTGTAGAAGGGCTCATTAAGGACAATGCCATCGAGATACGGAAGCATGCTTTAAATGTAGTCAAGTTGGCCACTTGTTGAGAGATTGTCCAAAGCTTACCAATCCTACAGTCGGCCTCTCTAGACCAGTCAGAAAATCCACAGGACTTAGAGGGGAGGGAAAGAACCAAAAACACCAAGGAAGGGCTTTTGCCTTGGTACCTGGAAAGCCAAAAGTTACTAAAAACGTTGTGTAAGGTATACTTTCTGTCTATGGTCATTTAGCTCATGTCCACATCATTTGTAAGTTTAGCACAGCGGTGGAACTGCAAAACACCTAACGAGCTATGAGCTAACAAATGGTCCGAGGCGCAATATCTTCTTACGTTGGAAGTTCCAGAATGTTAGGTAACGCAAAATTCAATTTTGACAATTTTCAGATATTCCATAATTGACTATAGTGAAAATCAAAGATCAGAGGCTTTACTCCTGCTCCTACGCCTCACTTCTCTTCCCTATAAGCATATAAGGTTGTATGCCTTCACCGCATCTGCGCAGTGCATCCAATTTCTATCAATCAAGGCTAGCGTCCATCACAGTTTTATAGTGCGACGACGCAATCCATTCATCTTGCGGTGGAAACAAGGAGTACCATGCCAAACTTCTGAGGATACGGTCTTATCGGACTCAGTGCAGATCAAATGACCACCAACAATTAGCTCATTGACCATAGATGGTGATGATTTCCTACATCACGCACAGTCTATTTCATTCAATTCTATGCCTTACCGGATCCGCATGGAACACTTGCCTTCATATTCAGTTCTCCATATCATGTAAACAAAAAAGAACAATCCCAAATCTTTCCCCAACATAAAGAGGGGCTGTCCCAAATTTATTTCTGTGAACAGATATTTAAGACTCTATGTGTATCAGTGGTGCTTATAAATTTCGCGTAAACCCAGGAGTTGAACCGTTAGACAGGGGAGTAAAATGACGCCAGAATCTTTGAGAGGAGAAGATCACACACAAGCAACTAAATCATAGAATACAATAGAAGTTTAGGTAAAGATATTGGGCTCTTTGATGAGGTCTGATGTAGGCTCCCCAATGATCTGCTTGAGATCATACATAATTCATATGACTCTTCCCTACCATTTATGCATAAAGAACGAGCAATCCAACCATTGATAAAGTGAATACTATTTTTTCAGGTCCATTCAAAAAGGCTGTGATCATTCTTTCTGGTTAGCTGGGTCAAAGGTGAATACTATTTTATCAAAAGCGACGCCACACCAAATTGAAATTCTTGCACGGAAACATCGATAATAGCCAGTTAGAGCCCAAAGCAAACTTCGGAATTTCTGACACATTAGTTAGGTCTGGCCAGTCCACGAGTTGCTACAAACTTTTTGAGGGGACAACCGAACGATGCCATCCTTGTTAATGACGGTGACCGAGGAAGTGTAAAACTAGTGATCCAGAATTCAACCATTTCTTTCAAACTTGGCATAAAGTTGTGATCAACGTAATGTTTGTAAAATCGTTCGCAAGTGCTGCTCGTTGGTCTTTCGCGTGACTTGGAGTATATGAGAATGTCATCAATGAAGACAATAATGAACTCGTCAACGCATAGGGTTTGAAACACCCGGTCATGAGATCCATGAAGGTCGCTGGAGCATTTGTGATGCCAAATGGGCATTGACGAGAAACTAGTAGTGCCATAGCGCGTGGTTCTTTGAAGACAGTCTTTTCGCATGCCTTTCCATTTTGACTTTTAGTTTGTGGTAGCCAGAACGCAAGTCAATTTTTCGAGAAAATACTTGGGCGCCT